CTAGGCTCTCACATCTGTGGCTGGGCTCCCTGCCTTTCCACACTGGAATTTGGAAACTGAACTTTTGAAAACTCAATAGTAAAAATGCCAAGAGGCACTTTAAACGATGCCTGTATGTCTACAGACCCAGTCATCACCATCCCAAAGATGGATACGTTTTTTGTTTTAGAAATTATTAAACTGTTACTGGGTGTGGTGATGCACACCTGTAATCCCAGCATTTGGGAGGCTGAGGCAGATGGATCACTGTGAGTTTTGGAGGCCAGCCTAGGAATTTACTCTACAGTAAATTTCCTTTTTGTCTTTTTGAGACAGGGTCTTGCCAAGCAGTTCAGGTTGGCCTTGAGCTCACTTTGTAACCCGGGTTGGTCTCCAGCTTGCAACAATCCTCCTGCCTCAGCCTCCCCAATGATGGGATTATAGAAGTGCACCACCACGCCTGGCTACAGTAAATTTCTGAATTTCATCTCAGCATGGAAATGGCAGGTAGATTTTATTAGGAGTTAAAGCCTTTTTCCTCTCAGGCCTGGGACCTTGAGAGGAGACATACGCTTTGCCAAGTATAATATACTTTTTCACAGAAGAAACGTCCATAAAACTAGTTGTTTATAGGTTGGTCTTCCCACTAGAGTGAAAGCCATTCCTGACCAAAGACTTTGCCTGGCCAATCACCCTTCATTCCTAGACCAAAGCCTGGCATGGCCGGGCGTGGGGGCGCATGCCTGTAATCCCAGCACTCAGGAGGCTGAGGTAGGTGGATCACCTCAGATTCAAGGCCAGCCTGGGCTACATAGTGAGACCCTGCTTCAAAAAAAAAAGCAACAGCCTAACCTGGGTGTGGTGGTGCACACCTGTAATCCCAGCACTCCAGAGGCTGAGGCAGGAGGATCATTGCAAGTTTAAGACCAGCCTGGGCTACAAAGTGAGCTCAAGGCCCGCCTAGACTGCATAGCGAGACCCTGTCTCAAAAATACAAAAAAAAAAAAAAGGCTGTGGAATCCTACAATGATGTTCATTGCTTCAATCTTTATACCAAACAATAAAAAACAAACAAACAAACAAAAAACCGGTATGGTAGTGCACCCCTGTAATTCCAGCACCTGGGAAGCTGAGGCAGGAGGATCCCAGTGAGTTCAAGGTCAGCCTGCAGCCTAGTGATTTCAAGGCCACGGTGAACTACACAGAAAGACCCTACCTCAAAAAGTAAAATAAAATACAGCAAAATAATCAAGTAGGTATGATGACACAGACTTACCAGGTGTGATGGTGCACGCCTGGAATCCCAGCACTTGGAAGGCTGAGGCAGAAGGACCACTGCCAAGTTTGAAGCCAGCCTGGGCTACATAGTGAGCTCAAGGCCAGCCTGTACTACATAGTGAGACCCTGTCTCCAAAAAAAAAAAAAAACCACACACACAAAAAGACACACACCCCACCCCGCTACCCCTGTAATCCCAGCTAGTCTACAAGCTGAGGCAGAAGGATCCAAAGTTCAAGGACAACCTGGACAATTGAGCAAGAGCCTGTTTCAAAAAAACAAACAAAAACCTACACATCTTCGAAGCAACTCAGTTTTCTAGATGAAGAACAGGCACAAGGGAAGACAATTTGCCTAAGGTCACACAACTAGAAAAGACTAGTACTGTACCAAGATTCCAATCTCTTCCCACCCTGAAGCCAGAGGGAGAGCCTGGGGAAGTCTGCCCTGGGTCCTGGAGCCTCTGAGGCTGTACGCAGACTGGGAAGGTCTCCAGACCAGTAACGGTGAACCTAAGAGCTTTCAATGATACAAATAGCCGGCTAAGAGCCAGGTATGGTGGTGCACGTCTGCAATCCCAGCACTCAGGAGGCTGAGGCTGGAGGATCGCTGACAGTTCCAGGGCAGCCTAGGATGGCTACACAGTGAGTTCAAGGCCAGCCTGAACTGCATAGTGAAACCCTGTATCAAAAAGTCAAAAATAAACAAACAAACAGCCTGCTCAGCACTAATGCCATAGGTTTGTCACCACTGGTCTAAGTTAACTAATTTTCATGCAAAACAAAGATGTCAGATTCCCTTAAGACACCATCCCCGCCCCCCATCCACCAGGTCCAGCGGCTGCCTCATGCCTGGAATCCCAGCACCCAAGACGCTGAGGCAGAAACAGGGAGTTCAAACTCCACCTGGACCCGGTCTCAAACCACACCCCACTCGCCATAAAAAGGTAGGCATGGTAGCACTCCTCTATAGTTCCAGTGCTCTGGGAGGCTGAGGCAGGAGGGTGGCTTGAAGTTCAAGGCCAGTCTGGACTACATAGCAAGTTCAAGGACAGCCCAAACTACATAGAGACACCTTGTCTCAAAAAACCCCAAAAAGGAAAAAAAACACTACCACGCTCAATCCTTCAACATTAAACTGCAGAAATGAGAGAAAACATAAGACAATAAGGAAAGACAACAGATTAGAGACCAAAAACACTGCTAGTTTTCAGTTCTTGTTAATGAAGTTATTAGGTCTCAGGCTGCAGAGGCTAACTTTCCCCGTCAAATCCTAAGAAAACTGAGCCTCATGAGCAACACAAACAAAAAGCCCCATTTAATTTAGGTTTACATAGTACATGCATTTACCATTGACACAGCAAATACTGAAAGAGAATTCATTCCTACCGTAAGGTCTACTTGGCAGTGAGCTGATTCAGAGAGGGACCCTCTGCAGCTTCCAGAACTCCGTGTGACTCTGTCTGGAGCTGGCTGCCTTATAATAAGGCAGGGGAGGGTGGGCGTGGCCAGACACACCTGTAATCCCAGCCTTCTGGGAGGCTGAGGCAGAAGGATCACAAATTCCAGTCCGGCCAGGCAATTTGGAGACACTATCTAAAAATTAAAAATGGGGTGGGGCTGTAATTTAACGAAAAGGCTCTGAGTTTAATTCTCAGTCCTCAAATATAAAAATAAAAAAATAAGAAATTCAGGGAAGGACAGGGAAAAAAACACAGGAAATATTGGGGGTAGGTAGAACATTAATGTTTGTTTTTATTACAGATTCCCCACTCCAAAACTTATGGTTTTGTAGGCGTCTGATTAGGCTGAGGAAATCTCATAGCAGCCAGTTTTAAAATTATCTAAAGAGAGTTTTTTGCACATTTGTTTGTTTTGGGGGTTGTGTATGTGTTGGGTTTTTTGTTTTTTGTTTTTTGTTTGTTTGTTTGTTTGTCTTTTTGAGACAGGGTCTTGCTATGCAGTTCAGGCTGGCCTTGAGCTCACTTTGTAGCCCAGGCTGGTCTCAAACTGGCAATGATCCTCCTGCCTCAGCCTCCGAGTGCTGGGATTACAGGTGTGCGCCACCACGCCCGGCCCTGTGTTGGGTTTTTTGTTGTTGTTGTTGCATTTGATGTTTATTGTGTTTTTTGCTTGAGACAGGTTGGCCTCCAGCTCAAAGGGCTCCTGCTTTGGTCTCCCAAGCCAAGCATCCCTCGTCCTGTGCAGATGCTGTCTCTCGTCTTGCTCTAGCACTAAGTCGCATCCCCAGCCAAACTTGTGACCATCCCCAATCAAAAAACAAACTTGTGATCTTCCTGCCTTAGCCTCACAAGGAGCAGGGATTATAGGCGTGTGCTACCACACCTACTTTGAGGACACTTTGTGTGTGTTACTAGGGATCAGATCCAATGGCGCCTTGCCCTTCTATTTATTCAGAAACAGGGTCTCACTTTGTCACGTGTACTTGCGGTCCTCCTTGCTTGGCCTCCAAAAGTGCTGGGATTACCCATCTGCAACACCACCCCCAGTGTTAGGACACTTTTTAAAATTTTTTTTTTTTGTACCGGGAATCAAACTCAGGACCTTGCGCTTGCCAGGCAGGCACTTGTCTCACTGAGCTATATCTTGGGGCACACACTTTTTAATCCACAGCATTAGCTCCTGTTCCCAGCTCTTCCTCCCTAAGAGTGCTACTGGGCCAGGGATATAGCCCAGTTGTACAAGCTCCTGCCTGGAAGCGCAAGGTCTTGAGTTCGATTCCCAGTATCAGAAATAAAACCCTAAGACTGCTACTGTGAACAAGAGTCACAGCCTACTTGCCCAGAGCAGCTCTGAAGCACAGCAGTGGCGTCACAAAGCAGCCCAGGGTTCCCCATCCCAGGGCCTGCTGGGCTCCCCCATCCGACCCTCCCTCACTTCCACAGCGCCTGGGTTCGGTGTCCCCAGAGTCTTCCTGCACTCTTAACTCCTCTTCATTCTTCATGGGCCCATCCCTCAGAAACTCCACATCCTCTCTGTAAGGACTCTCCACCTTTACACCTTCGCCTGTCTCTGATCAGACTATGCTCCTAGGGCAGGGTCTGTATCTTAATTCATCTTTATCTCCCAAAGGCTTTATTAGCCATCAGATGATTATTACCCAAGAAGATAAAACCAGGGTTGACTTTCAGGCCTAGGTCAGAGATTCCTTTTCTCTAACTCAGACTAGGAATCAAAATATTCATGAGTGTTGAGACGCTGCTTAAGCCTACGCTCCCTTGTCTCAGGTACAGCACACTCCCAAACAGAAAACAACGCAGGTCATTAGGAAGCCCAGTAGCTCCCAGAACCAAACCTCAGTTGGGTTAAAACGAAGGCAGGAGTGGCAGCATGTAGGAGGCTCAGGCGGCAAGATCACTTCAAATTCGAGGCCAGCCTGGGTTACACGAGCTAAGGCTGTCTTAAAACACAAAACACAGAGTCTGGCGTGGTGGCACACGCCTGTAATCCCAGCACTCGGAGGCTGAGGCAGGAGGATCCTTGTGAGTTTGAGACCAGCCTGGGCTACAAAGTGAGCTCAAGGCCAGCCTGAACTGCATAGCGAGACCCTGTCTCAAAAAGACAAAAAAATAAAAAAAAATAAAAAAATAAAACAACATTTTTGGTACAAGGACCAGGTAAAGACCCTGTCTAAGCCCCCCAGTGGCAACCAACTGCCACCTGCAGGCCAAGCCCTCTTTTCCCAGGGAGATGCAGGAAGGGGACTCCCGATACTATGCTCACTTCATCCAGAGCTGGCAATCTAGTTTCTGATCACTGCCATCAAGTCTGGACACATCATACTGTCAAGACCGCTGGTCACGTCACATCTCAAAGGCGAGGGTCAGGGCCGACCGTCCTATCTCTCTCGAGACAGAGAGAGACAGGAGCAGGGCTGCTCCATCTGGGCGGCAGAAACGCAGGCGGCCTAAAGAACCAAAGGGGTGGGTTTAGAGTCTGCGTTTTGCCCAAATGAGTTATGTTTCAAGCAAGTCTTTTCTGCCTGGTTGAGCCTTAATGTTCAGCTCTCCAAAACGAAACACCTAAAAGGATTTTAGTGCTCAACCCAACATGTACTCAGCTTGTACCTAAGTTACAAATCATCCACTTGAAACGAGAGCAAATAAGCATGCGAGGTACACAACTGTAATCCCAGCACTCTGCAAGGCTGAGGCAGGAGGACTGCAAGTTCAACCAACCCTGGGCAACTCAGTGACTTAGCAGGACCCATCTTAAAAATAAAAACAGGAGGCTGGGCATGGTGGCGCACGCCTGTAATCCCAGCAATCGGGAGGCTGAGGCAGGAGGATCATTGCAAGTTTGAGATCAGCCTGGGCTACAAAGTGAGCTCAAGGCCAGCATGAACTGTATAGCAAGACCCTGTCTCAAAAAAACAAATAAATAAATAAATAAATAAAAATAAAAGGGGGAGCCAGGTGTGGTGGTACATGCCTATAATCCCAGCACTTGGGAGGCTGAGGCAGGAGGACTGTTCAGAGTTCGAGGCCAGCCTGGGCTACAAAGTGAGCTCAAGGCCATCCTGAACTGCATAGCAAGACCCTGTCTCAAAAAGACAAAAATAAAAAATAAATAAAAAGGGGGCTAGAGATGTAGTCCAATGTGAAACCTGGTAAGGAAAAAAAAACAAACAGAAATTTAAAAGTATAAGGTTAACACTGGAAAAAGCTAGCTACAGGGCACTATACAGTTACTAAAAACCAAGCCACAAACTTGGCTTCATACCGATTAAAAGCCAAAGCAAAAAGAGAAATATAAGCAGTTATAAATTTCCAATTGTCCACAAAGAAAAAAGCATACCAGCTCCTTGGGAAAGGCAGGCTTTTCCTGGCACTATGTTCTCAAAGAATTTCTCCCTTGAACTTTTTTATTTTTGTGGTAATGGGAACTGAACCCAAGGCCTTGCACAAGCTAGAGAAGCACTCTAAATCAGAGATATACGCCCAGTCCTTTTTTATTTTACTTTTTGAGACAGGGTCTCACTAAGTTGCCCAAGCTGGTGCTCTCCTCCTGCCTTAGCCTCCCGAGTAGCTGGGATTACAGCATACACCACCATACCCAGAGCCCATACTTATTAAAGGGCACATTAAGTGACATGGGAGCAAAGTCTTCAGTAACATAAATCTTTATAAGAACTGCAGAAAACACACACACACAAAAGAACTGCAGAAGCAAGGTATATGGAGCTATTTCTGACTGCGTCCTCTTATAAACACAAACAGCAGACATCAAACTTAATCTCAGTGAAAATAACTGCAGGGAGGCTGAGATAATATGGCCTAAGTATGTAGCTTTCACTTAACCCAGCTTCATGGATAAAGCCAAGAACAGCCAGAGGACCAGGCAGACAGTGCAGCCTTCTGAAAACATTCATAAATATTACTTCTTCCAAATGGGTATTTGTTAAGAGTTGGGTAGGTTCTGATAGATTTAAGTGCCATATCTAGTCTTCAGTTAATTTATAGTAATGTAAGATTTGACACCTGCCCATCCCCCTACCTGCCCACTCCCAAATCAATGGATTCAGAATGGAGGAGATTCCAACTATTATTCTTAGGTGCTGTTATTAATAGCTACCATGAGCGCCTCCCATGTGCCAGGGTCTGTGCTTGGTTCCCCTGCGTTCTCACTTAATCCTCCCATAAATCCTGTGTGGTAGGAACTATTATTAGTCCCATTTTACAAATAAGGAACAAAGATTTAGAGAATTTTAGATTGCCCAAGGTTACAGAGGTAATTATCCAGTTCTTTCTGATTTCAAAGCCCAGGCTCTTGGCCCTACCCTAGTGCCTCCTGGTATTAAAGAAATGTGATTACTGATAGAAATGCTAATGTTTGTCAGGAGCAGCCTCGGCCTCCAATGAGGTCAGTGGAGGAGGAGAGGGTTGTTTATTACAGCATGATAAGGGTGTTGGGCAATCTATAAATGAAATAAAGGGATGAAAGATACTGTGAAAAGCACAAGTTGCAAAAGAAAGTGATTGAGAAGATTTTTGGGGGGACTGGTATTAAACCCAGGGCCTTCACCCTGAGCTACATCCCCAGCCCTTTTCTCCATTTTTTAAATTTGAGACTGAATCTCACTAAGTCACTAAATTGTCCAGGCCGGCCTCAGATTTGCAATTCTTCTGCCTCAGCCTCGCAACACACTGGGATTAGAGAATACTATCTTAACCCAGGAAAACGGAGAAAACAACTATCTTTTCCTCTTCCTCCCTTAGAAGTATTTCCTACTCTAGAAACTTAACTCAGGCTCTCAGGAGGCGTGGTGGTACATGCCTATAATCCCAGCACTCGGGAGGCTGAGGCAGGAGGATCTTTGTAAGTTTGAGACCAACCTGAGCTACAAAATGAGCTCAAGGCCAGCCTGAACTGCATAGCAAGACCTTGTTTCAAAGGGAAAACAAAAAACAAAAAACTTTGGTTCTCTTATTCATTCATTCACTCATTTACTCAACCAACAGGTATTTTTACCCAGTGCCACTCAGGTCTAAATAAAGTCAGCACTAAGCAACTCAGAGAAGTTCTCAGAAGTCCTCCTCCCACTTAACAAGCAGACAGAGTGTTTCAGATAATATTCAAGCCGGGCGTGGTGGTACATGCCTGTAATCCCAGCACTCGGGAGGCTGAGGCAGGAGGATCCTTTCGAGTTCAAGACTAGCGTGGGCTACAGAGTGAGCTCAAGGCCAGACTGAACTGCATAGTGAGACCCTGTCCCAAAAAGACAAAGAAAAAAAAAAAAAAAAACTCATATAATATTCAGGTGCTCTGAAAAAAATAAAGTCAAGGTGGAGGGCAGGGGCAGTATCCTCTAGATCCGAGACAGGGAGTCAGTCACAGAGAAATTGAGAAGGGCCATCCTGAAACAGGGACTAAGAGTAGAAAAAGCCTGTGACCAAACGCCCATAGCATGTTCCAGAAACCCCAGGAAGGCCCACGAAGGCCCAGGCAGGGAAGCCAGAGGACCAGGCGGGGACTGGTTGCAGATGAAGACGGAAAGGCCAGGGGAGGGAGGCAGACAGCGCACAGCCTCCAGAGCGAGGGGCTGAAGAGTAAAGGGAGAGACCACTGGGAAAGTGGAAACAGAAGAGCAGCACACACTGGCTTACTGTCAAGCCCTCTGGAGCTCTATCCACAGCTCCCAGGGAAATTCGGGCAGGTGCAGTCCCTGACCGACTCCAGTGTGCAGCGCCTTTTGTTAAGGGTAATATACTGGAAACTGTCAACTCTAACAAAACAGCTTTAGCCTGCAGGCCCTGGCTGGCTTTCCATCACTGGAGGCCAACATCCAAAGGGATGGCCTCTTCATTTTCCAGAGCCTGTCTGAGCACCTACTGGTTTAGCTGATGGTCCCCAGGGAAATGCTGAGCTAATTTCCAAAGGGAACTGATCCTGCTCCTCCGTTTGTATCTCCCCTGAACTTCTCTTCCCTCTGCTTTTCCTATCCTAAGATATCCTATCTCTCGCCATGCTTTGGTTGCTCTCTGGCTTTCCATATGCTCTCCCTGCACATTCTGGGTAGGAGCTGCTGGCCAAGTTGAACATTATTAAATTTCCCACACAGTCCCACGGTGCATGTCCCCACAGAAAGCACACCTTTGGCAAAAAGGACCAAGGTTGATTTCCCATTTGGAATATTGAGTCCTTCTCCAAACTAAGTTGCAGCTTTGATTCATTCAAAGAAATTTCTTCTACCAACGTGTCTGGACACAATTAGAGGGAAAAAGCACGGAATGTGTGGCTGCATCCGGTGTATGTGTTTGTGCTTAAAGGGAGAGGTAACAGCATCAGAAACTGGATGACTAACAGGATCTACCAGCACACAGGGGCTGGGCCGTCCGAGAACCACAGCTAAGTAGGCAGTGCAATGTGGGAATTTGTGTCTCTTAGGAACATCTCACAGACAAGCCCCCACTCCCTACTCCCCAAATAAAAACAAAGCCACCAGCCTGCCTTTCCCCCCAGGCTACACAGTGCAGACATTAAACAAAATCAACCCTTCCTTCTGCCGGCCAATTGTTAATCCCCAGGGGAACAATGACTGGGCTGCTGCCTCAAAGCCATTAACATCATTATGACAAGGAAAACTCACATAATCTGTGAACAGAACAGCAACTCATCAGCACAGCTCCGGGCCCCAGCCCCAGCCCCAGCCCCCACGCACCTAGAAACATCCAGCCGCTCAGAGCGGCGGCGAGCAGCAAGCAGGAACCCTCAAGCGAGCTGGGGTGGGGCAGGAAAGGAGGGCTGCCAGTCTCTTACCAACTGCTGCATGGCAGTTGAAAACAAACTATCCTGTGCCCTTAGACTTTTCAGAACCCAAGCTTAAGTGTGATCAGTTGCTGAGTGCCCTTGGGGTTGGAGTGTGGGCCACACACCTGACCGCTGCACTGCATATGCAAGTTCCTGCTGGTCCTTCACTGCCACCAACTCCCACTGGATCAGTTTCTCATCAGCCACCTACATCACAACCTCAAGGATACTTACTTCAAATGCAAATTCCAGTGCCCCCCCCCCGCTTGAAAATAAACTCTGCAGGGCCCTACAAACTGTATTTTTAAGCACTACCCAGGTCGGTCATCTTTACACATATTTAGTTTTAGGGACCTCCGCCCCAAACTGATGTTTCCCTGACCGTGGGTCATGACCTGTGTGGTTAGGAAATCAAATTAATGAGTCATGACTAGCACCTGATTTTTTTAATGTAGAAGAAAATTAAGCAGAGCACAATGCAAGTGGTAAAGGTAATAATTATTGTTTCCTGGAACTTATGTCAGTTGTAGACCTCGGTACAGCGCTGCAAAATGTATTCCTTACGGTGGGTTCCGCTCCAAGTTTGAAAATTATGTTCCCAGAGGGAAGAAGGAAAATAGTGTTCTCGCACATGGTGTTTATTTTCTATTTTCCAACCCTACCTCCAAGC